TTAACCCACCCATGGGTCCAAACCAACCCATCGGCCCCCACCAGCCAAATGGTCCTCACTACCCTGTGAGCCAGCCGAGGAGTCCGAGCCAACCAAATGGCCCCCATTATCCGGTTAACCCACCCATGGGTCCAAACCAACCCATCGGCCCCCACCAGCCAAATGGTCCTCACTACCCTGTCAGCCAGCCGAGAGGTCCGAACCAGCCGAACATCCCTCATTACCCGGTTAACCAGCCTCTGGGTCCAAGCCAGCCAAATCAGCCAATGGGTCCCCACCAGCCGAATGGCCCTCACTATCCGGTGAATCAGCCCAGGAGCCCGAGTCAGCCTGTGAGTCCAAACCAACCCGTAGGTCCAAGTCAGCCAATGGGTCCAGCCCTGCCGCATTATCCGGCAAACCAACCTATAAGTCCTATTCAGCCAAACAGTCCTCACTATGTGGTTAACCAACCCACTCACCCAGCGGGTCCGCATATGCCACAGACGCCTTATGGTCCACAAACTGCTTATGGGCCGCAGACTCCTTATGCCGGTGAGCAGGCCTTAAGCCCCCAATATTCACGAAGCGAGCCATGGGCAGCTGGGCCTGTTCCGGGCGTGCCCCCTCCCCCTCTGAGTGTCGCGAACAGTGATGTTTATCCACTTGTGAATGAACCGGGCCTGCCGTCACTGAGAACCGTCGGCCGATCGATGATCCCATCTAGTCTGCCATCGGCAACGGTCTTACCTCCAACCCCACTGAGTGCGGGGTGGTCCCCTTCGGCATACGGATCGGTGCACGAAGAGGATTTCGTGGAAGGCTATGGATTATCGAAGACTGAGCACGGCTATGGCGAGCAAAGGAGCCAGGAGCAGTATGGAAGACCGGCGGGTCGATATCCGGATGGTCGGGAGTTAACAAGCGGTGGAGTGCCTCCGCCGTACTATCCATCTCTTAAACACCAGTTCGATTCCGGGTTTGACGACTCGGAATTGGCTCCTGCCTTTGAGTTACCTGCCTTCCAGGCCCCGCCCTTCCGAACTCAGCCACCCCCTGTGCCTATGACCCACCATGTAAGCGGGAACCGGCGCCACGAGTTGTCAGCTGCCTTCCGCCCCAACGATGAGCTAGCATATCTGAGAGATGATGACGCATTATATTCTAATGATCTGTATGGTCCTGATGGCCCGTTATACGACGACGATGATGATGACTACGGAGCCAGTCACTCCTCCTTTCTCTCCGGATTTAATCCGGGACCCACATACCCATTTTAGACGAACCACCTCCTAACAAATAAACCTTATGACAGATGATACAGATGAATAACCCAGCCCTCGAAGTCAATGTGTGAGTCAGGTGGTCGGCGACTAACGTGTGACCAAATATACGTAAATGTGTCACTAGCATAAATGAAGTTTCAGTGCTTGGTATTACCATGTAAGAAAACATGAAGTCAACATGAAGTCGCACAACCAAAAGTGATGTGACTTTTTTCTAGGTGTGATACTAGCACACATAGACAAAGTGGAGAAGACCGGATTGCCTTTGTGGGGTGAGATCACAATCCTTTCTCTCGTGGCATGTGGCCTTAGTCTTGGTATACTTTGTTTGATCATGACATGCCACCAGGACACCGTGCTTTCAAGAGAATACTCAGAGCCGCCTCCGATCTTTTTCACCTGAAATGAAACGAAGTACCGCCCGCCGGCCCCTCTTTCCTTGGCCCCTCTTCTGCCGCTGTGGGAAGAATGCAGTGGCTTCGAAGAAGTTTGCCGCCTTCCTTCCATTCGTCTTGGTTGGTATTCAATTCTCTTCTTGTTCAATAAGTTGGGCAGATTGTATTCTGGGTGATGTCGGAGTAAGCAGCGGAGTTTCCTCCTTGTGTGGTTTTTTCGTCAGGTTAGCGACGATTATACCTAAAGCGATGGCGCCGGTTGCACTTGCGGCAATGATGGAAACGAACGCAGTCCAGTTGACCCTGGACCCTTTCAGTTCGCCGGCAGCAGCGTTGCCGTAGATGTAGGTTCCGTATGTATCGCAGTTGGCGGGCACTGTGATGGCCTGCCGGTGCTCAAATGTTGGAATCTCGTCCTGTACAGTCTTGAACAAAACACAATTCGTTTCATTGCCCGGAATATACTGAGTGCCATCTGCCGAAACCGTATCTGAGATGTCTATAAACACAGAATGAAAACACCTGCTCTTTTTTCGACAGTAGGTCCAGCATTCCTGGGGTGAAGAGAAGTTGAACTTAATCTGTTCAATAAAATCTCCAGCTTCGTGAGCAAAATGCATTCTAGCACCACTGCAGGTATCATATTTTCGTTCCTCCGTTGGGTTAGGGAACCTAGGGAAGCCAGTTGGAGTTTGGCCACCGGTACCATCTGCACCGGTGCCATCTGCACCGGTGCCATCTGACGGAAACGCGGCGGCAATATCCGGGTACGAATTCAAGTTACAGAACGGATAGCCAGATGTCACAAACTGATCACTGATCAATTGATCCACGCGATCGAACAGGTAACAAGCTCCCCAAGCACCCTGACTGTAAGCAATACAACCCTTTGTGTTCTTACAGAACAGCGCGCAATCCTCCACTGTGGCCAACAACTCCATATTAGATGCGCCACTTGAAAGAAGCCGGCCTCGGAAACTAACTCGGCCATATAGCACACCAAGATACTCATCGCATAAAACATCAGAACTCTGGTCGGAACTCTGATCGGTGCTTTCAGATACCTCCGGGCTGCTAAACACCGGCTCCTCACCTAGAGACCGTCGAATCCGCGAAGCCATCAACGACTGAGAGCTGGCTAACTGAGTTGTGGTGCTGTACGGGACAATGGGGCCAACAGCAGGGAGCTTATCCCAGCACAAGGGTACCCCGACGGAGTTCAGTAATTGGGTGGTAACGACATTGTCCAGTCGACTGAACCCTGTCACGATCCGGTTGTCCATGGCTGGGTATAACTTAGGGACCTCCATAGTATGGAGGCTGCACGTAGCAGGCAAGCCCGTAACTTCGCTGACGCCAGCAAGGTCATCTGGGGTGTATTGCCAGGACCTGCAGTCCGTCTTTGTCTCGCAAAACCTTCGACACTCGCGAGCACTCGCCGCACTGGCGACAACCGCATGGTCAATGCTGCTCCAGATAGTTCGTGTTGTGCTGTCTCCGGGCAGTAGTGATTCTGATGCACCAATGAAGCCAGCAAACACGCAAGCTCCACCAGAAGCCTCGTCGTCAATGCTGAATGCTTGGGCCTCGCTGATTGCGTCCAAAGGAATAGACGCTAACAAATCCTCTGCACCCCATTCTCTTAGTCCTGAGGCACCTTTTAGCCAGTCGTTCATACCGATATCCACCACTTGGTTAATTAGTCCCATATTGGAACTTTTATAACACCACTGACTTGAGTTGATCTCCACCCAGTTCCAACGAACGCAATTCGGGTCAGCGGAGCACAGAACAATGCAACTCCTTATATCATCAACCGCAAACGACTTTTGCAACAATAATCTCGGCTCCCCCAGGACGCCCCAAACCACTCTCAAGGTCGGTAGAACCTCTTCCAAGGAGCTCAGCGATAAATTGAGATCGTAATTTAGCTGCCCCCATTCGACTCGGGTTCGCAAAGCAGACATTGAAGCATCATCTAATAATCTTACAGTCGAGACTGCTCCCTCCAGGCAACGGCGATATTGTTTGCTTTTTCCGTAGTTTGCTATACTCAATGCGACCTTTCCCCCTTTGCAAATACTGGGCGCAGAATAAACGCCCTCTAATTCAAATAGCGCGGTAATCTGCCGATGCAGCACACACGTGTGCTCATGAGGAAAATACGTTATACCAGCGCATTGAGAAGCGGCAGAATTGTCGTCAGTGGCAGAATAGGGGTTATAAATGTTAAATAAATTCTTGAACCAATCCCAAGCGCTGTTTTCTCGAGTATCTTCGCTGCACTGATTCCATCTCACAAGATCAACAAGTCCCTGACAAAGGAACTGACATGCCTGCGGGGACCGAACGTCTCTAGCAATGCCGTGATTGTAAGAGAATATGGCTTTATTGGACCATCCACAAGGAACAGCTTGAACAATCTCTACGGGTAAATCTGCTGTCGTGAATTCGACTAATAATTGTGCGCGCTCTATGGATTCGCGGTGCCATACAGGATATTGCCATGAGTTTGTTGCACTGGGCCTAAAAAGAGCCATTAATGCGATTTGGTCATCGTCGTCGTATAGGTCCCCGGACTCATCTTGTCGGTCAGTCACGCCACCGAATAGCAGCGATGTCAATATCGGCTGGTCAGCCGGTAGCAGGCTAAGGTATGGAATTACTTCGGGATCGAACCCGAATCGAAGTAAGTTTGTTTGTAGATTGGTATCAGTAACAGATGCTTTTATATGACGCTCTAATTCATCTACTGACACCGAAGAAGGGGGGACTGTTGGTACAACTAATCCTTCATCTATGAGGTCCAATGATACTGCAGTATGAACTAAAAATAACGAGATTCTGATAAAGAGGCAGATCATGTTGCAAAAATTGCTAAGTTTCACCCCCAAGTTATCCTGTAAAGAACTTGCTGGCAGTCCCTTCCTGGCTGACAGTACCCTTCCTGTACACTATTGACCCACCTCGCTAAAAATGGTTATAGAAGCCCGTCAGGAGTGGCCAGTATCAAGCAATCGTCTTCGTTGATCGGTAGTGCTTCTTTGACTTCCATTACTTGTTGTAAATGCTCCAGTGTTCGTTGTCTCATAGACAATGACTTCCTACCGGGCGAGATCTCCCCCATTTTCTTCTGAACAAGTAGCATAGCATCGGCTTCTTCTATCTTGTCATATGTGCCCAACATATCCAGCAACTTGTGAACCCCCACCGTCTTCAAAATTTGGCCGACGAAGGATTCGCAACAACCAGCAGGCATATTCTGCGCAGCGCGCTCTCGAATGTATTTTTGTAACTTGGCATTCTGCAACTCTCTCTCACGCCTTTCTTCTTCATCCGCTGGGAGAGTCGTATCCTCAATAGGGTCCAATAAATTACATATGGTGACTTCTTTATCGTCCATGTCGCCACATGGCATGGGTATCCAGGGACTCATTTTTCTTGGCACCTTATCTTATTCAGCACCTCCAACGCACCTTCCCGACATCAGAGAATATTGTATTGGGGAGGTACTAAAAAGAACCTTATGGATATTCACTACGATAATAGGTGGCAACCCATTATCGTAAGCTGCACCCACGAACCCTTGCTTCGATACTAGTAATAGTATCGCGCCCTTGACCTCAAATTCGTGTTTGATTCATTTAGTCGCCGCGATACTACTAGTACCAACGGCTTCAAAGAAATTACAACGTCTAACACCTCGGCAAGCGAAGTATTAGTGACCCATTACATCAGCCGCTGCAATGCCTGCTCCGAGTCACTCCGGGCTTATGCCTGAGCAAGCCAACGAAGCCGCCAAAGTAAGTTTAATAAAAATTGATTTTCAGAGCACCCATGTCGCACACGTGTTTGCCCACAAATAAAACTTTACGGGCGCAGGTGTTACAGCTCTTGCCACTTTTCGTTATGACCGCAGTCTGGACAGGTTTCGGTCCAAAGCCCATCATTAAAAGTTTTGGTTGAGTGAATATGTCTGCACTGTTTGGACTCCAGAGCCGGAGTTTTAGCTTTCACGCTGCGCTCATAAGCAGTCGACAGAAGTTTGAATTTAGCTAATTGCTTCTCTTCTCGTTTGCTGATCCAATTTTGTAGCGACCCATGCTTTTTGGAACAGGCTTCTTCCAGTTGGAACTTAAAGTACAGTTTAATGTCTTGTAGCCGAGAGTTCTTATTTGGTTTAACTAGACAGAATAGAGGCATTAGATCCCTAGAATTCAGTCCGTAGTCATAAGCAACTCGAGATTGATGCAATGTCCTATAATCATCTCGATATTTCCATCGACAGTCCCGACACACATTATGTCCCCTATCATGAAGCAAATCGATGCATGCCTTACGCAACCCGCAGCGACAACATTCATGAAGCGTTGATGGTACATTGGTCATGTAATCGATACCAATATTACTGTCAAATTTCCAAAGGAAACCCCCATGCTCGTCATCATTATCGCTATTATCGTTATTGGCATTATCATTAATGGCATTATCGTTAATGGCATTATCATTTCCTCGATCAGCTAGTGGTCGTTCGACATTGTTGTCGCAGTCATCCAGGTGAAGTAGAGCGTCGTTATCCTCCGATATCAAATCCATCATTCTGGTATCCATAATTCTGGTATCCATAATTCTGGTATCCATCATTCTCAATTTCTTGGCAGTATTTATCTCATCTCCAGTTCCACTCATGTTTTAGTCTCACTTTATAGGCAATGCCGGCCAGGCAGGTAGGTGAAGATCAGTCTGGTGAAAATCAATATGTCTCAAAGAGGGCTATGTCTCAAAGAGGGCTATGTCTCAAAGAGGGCGTAATCAATATCTAGAGTTCAATACAAAGCCATCAAAAATGAGTTGGAAAAAGGTTCAATGCCGACCAAGGATTTATTTACTCGGCGTCTAACCCATTAAGTATTCGGAAGTAACTGAAGGGTACGAATTTATAGCCGTCAGCTTTATAGAACTTATTTTGGAACTCGACCCAATGGAGACGCAGGGCATGAAGATAGCATTCGAGCGTATCCATGCATAGCATGATACCAAAGGTGACGGCTGCGAAAGCCCCGAATCCAAGGAAGATGCATATTCCACCAACGATAGTGTTTCCAATTCCGCCATCCGGTTTAACGACTGCCTTAATGATGTTGAGAAGAATCTGTTCAAAGAAGACCGCAGCAAGTTGTTGATGAGCGAGGGATAATGCCCACAAACGTAGGTAAGATGCAGTGTTAGAGATAGACCCCAATACGAATTCGATAGTTTCTATGGTCTGGTGGATAAATTCTTCACCGAAATTAAACTCTTCTCCTTCCTCTTCGGTGTTCTGCTCTGCGAGTTGATGGCCCACTTCAGCCGATTGGTCAATGATGATCTCAGCTGCTGCATTGTCGTGCTCGTTTTCCAACAGGATCCGTTCCTCCTGGTTATTCGCTGTCTTGGTGCCGACGGCAGATTTATGGTGCCTATTCCAGGCCATCTTAGCGAGCACGGGCTTACAGATAAGCATCCACGGAATACATACAACCAATATGATGAGCAACACACGTTCTACGGTCTGCTGGTTCGGAAAGTATTCGTCATCCTTAGTCACTTCCTTCAGCATGGCCATGTTAATCACTGTAGTAATGATGCTCGTCCTCGGTTGACCGTAGTAAGACTGGGCCCACTTCAAGATGATCAAAAGGTCCATGTATCCAACAAAGGCCAGCATAAATATAAACTGAGGTAAGAACTCAAACCACAAGGTTAAATGGTCGCGAAAGTATATCGAATTGAGCCCTTTGAGCAGCGTGCCAAGGAGCATTTGAACGAACCCAAATATAACGGACAGCTTCATCTTGTACGAGTTGAGAAAGTCTAACTCATTGTCAGCACTCTTCCAAATAGGGTCAATGCCGAAAGGGTACGGGAACGTGCCGCTACTCTTCTTAGTGTTGTCTAGATCGTCAACAATATCAGACATACTCTTGTCCTGGTCTCGGTTCGGCATGTAGTGCACAGTACCATCTGTCGCCGCTGCTGTCGAAACGGGGTTGATTACATAGCGACTACCGTACAGGTTAAAACCTAGAGCAAAGAAGTCGTTGTAGATTATTCCCGAGTATATGGCAAAGCAGCCCATCATCAAAATCATATAACGACCGAATGAGACCATCATGGCCAACTCGTCGCCACCACGAACCAACTGCTTGTTGTAAGCAATCAAGACCAAGGCGAATAGGGTCACCAGTATACCGTGACCGATATCTCCGTACATAACGCCGAACATGAAAGGGAAAGTGACTGTGCTAAAGAGCGCAGGGTTCACCTCCTGATATCGCGGTACGCCATAGGTATCCACCATTTCCTGGAAACATTCCGTGAACTGATTGGTTTTGTTGTAGGTCGGTGGATTCTTGTCCAGACCTCCATGCCCACCTGAGGCGGCGGCGGACTTAGTGTCTGACAGGAGGAATGCACTGACAACGTTGACCCCGCTGCTGAAGTCCTTCAGCAGGCCGCGAATATGGTCCTCCGTGTTCGCAGGGTACCAGCAGTCAGCTCTAAGCGTCGACTCCGTCTCCTCGAACAAGTTCAAACACGCATATGTCGCCTTCTGCTTCATGCAGTAAAGCCGCCAGTCCTCGATTAAACTATTGCCACCTGCATGTACGGGTTGCAACAGGACCGCAACTTCGTCGAAGAAAAATTCCTCAAAGGCCTCCAACGCCCGCGTCTTGTCGTCGATGACCTCAGTCAAGCCTCCAATCTTGTCACGAGCCTCGTCGGCCGAACGAGGCCACTCAAAGGTATCGATGCCAAAGGCTTTGCAGATACGCTCGATTTTCTCGTGCATCGCAGATCCCGGGCCACCGGGATAGTACACCACAAATACGTTGCGCACAGGGGCAACGTCAGCTGCTGCTTCATCCACAAACTGACCGTTGTCGTCCTCGTCGATCGCCTCGTAGTACGTGAACGCATTACCTCTGGTCGCGCGGAACAACGTGCGGCTGAGCTTGCTCACGTCCTCCTGTCGCACCACTCCCGCAAACGAAGATAGCACAGGCGAACCATTCGCCGCTCCTGCCTCCGCGTCGGCAGCAAGCAGACCAGCCGCATTGTTAGTACCAGCGTTGTTGACTAAGTTCTCATGCTTGCCGTCCAGCGACTTAGCGGCCACCTTAGCAACAGCACGTTCCATCATCGCTCGGGTGCGTTGCCGCAGCAAGTCGTCGTTGTTCGCTCTGAACTTGACGAACTGGTCGGTTAGAGTACTCAAACTTTCCTCCACTCCCTCCAATACAAAACCGTCGTAGTCCAGGAAATTGTTCACATCTCCTGTTACGACCTTCGCACCAGGCAACTTCTGGATTTCAGTCATCAAATACCGCAATTGCCGCTCCATCTCCTCGATACGCTGGATATACCGACGATACGGACGCTTCATGCTCGTAGCATTCATATCCTGTATCATCACCTCGCCCTTCTGCCCCAGGAGCGAAATGATTTCCACGGCACGTTCTGTTGGGATCACAAGCGTGCCGTGCTGCATCTGCTCGCTCCTCAGTATACCCATGACACTACAACAATACTAGATCTTCCCGCCGCTGTGCCCACTTGAGAGTCAAGAGGTGCATGCTTACCTAAGCTCTAAAATGAAAAGTAAATCACCTTTTTTTTAAAGTGGACACGCTTTTTGTCGACGGTCTCTTGTTATTGTTACCGTCACTGGTTATTGTTACCGTCACCGGTTACCGTTACCCGTTTTCCGAACCCTCGACGCACTTGTTTCCGCACTCAGGCCGTGCACACCCTGGCCGGGTGCACGCCCTGGCCGGGTGCACACCCTGGCCGGGTGCACACAAAAGCTCTTTGCCGCACCATGAATGCCTGGTCTGTCAACATGTCCCCGGTCAGGCTATCCATGCATTGACACGACAAACAACAACGGCGAATTCGCCAAAATTGTGTCTTCCAAACCCGCCCCCCGAGCAGACTACCAGCACACCTCACTCTAGATTGCTTCGTGCCGTTGAGAGCTCAGCCCGTCCGCCTTGGGGCTCGTAGCCGAGTGCGCTCCCTAGAAAAGACTGAACCACACAAACGCAACACACAAACTTGCCACTCCAACCGGGAAGGAGACACAGCACTGGAGCACTCTTTACAGCACGGTGTCGTGTCTGCCGGCCACTACACGCACGATCACCCGCTCTGGGGACACCCGCTCTGGGGACACCCGCTCTGGGGACACTCCTCCTCTCTTCATCGCACACACTTATTCGGACGCAAGAAGGTGTGATTATCAGGGGATTCCGAGGGTGGTGACTGCGACCGTGGGAGCGCGTTTATGGTAATGGTTAGGTCTGTAATTTTCTCGCTGTCTGGTAGAGTAGGTGAACAGAATTTTCAGATCCAGAAGACCTCACGAATGACCATGGGTCCAGAAGACCGTGGGTGTTAATGAGTGTATTGTCTCGACTCGATTTGGTGGCACGTGTTCTAAATAAAAAGTGTGTGCAGGGCTACTTGTCTTTACGGTAGTGCGCCCACAAAAATGTGTGCACAAAAGGAACCCAGGACTCCTTGATAATATCGGAAACATTTCGACCCTAAAGGTTTGGTTCGGTTTATACCTTCCGTTGTCCGTTCCGGGGTCTCTGCTTATTTGAAACGGGTCTTAGTTCCAATGGACATTTCGCTTCGAGAACATTCTGCTGTTGGTCCATGATGGTTTGTGATTTGTCCCTGAAGGATCTTGGAATGCGATTATCCCCATACAATTTGTCTAGCACTGCATCCGACGTAATACGGGTCGCCAACACTCGCTCGAGCCCTCGAATTATGTCTTCGGAAGCACCGGCTGACATTACAGCGGACGAGCCAACAGGATTGATTACAGCAAGGTACTGTGCATCAGATATTTTCCCGAACCAAAAGCTAGTCTTGTTGATGCCAAAGTGACACACCAGTAGCAACGGCGACCTTTTCGCAAAGGCAGCCTGTTTCATCTTCATACCAACCACGACACCGTGCTTCAGCAGTGATAGATCACTATCTCCGGACACCTTGACACCTGCTTCGTATATTCTCTTATCCGAATCCGTTAACTC